TATATCACCGAGGGAATCGTTACTTACCTCGTTCTCGATGAAACTTGAAGTTTATTTCGATCTGGGGCCTGTTCTAAATCACCTAGGACTGAAGTTACAGTCCCTCTACACGTATCCACACCGACGGGAAAGATTCCAAACTCTCGATGAAACTTGAAGTTTATTTCGATCTGGGGCCTGTTCTAAATCACCTAGGACTGAAGTTACAGTCCCTCTACACGTATCCACACCGACGGGAAGGATTCCAAACGATTTGGAACGAATCTGCTAGGATTAGTGAAGAAAAGGGTAACTCAAGAGACGAGATCCAATCCCGGGACAATAGAAATCGAAGAGAACAGGTTCTCTAGGGTTCTAGGATGTTTCTCTGAGTTTTTGGTCGGCCTCTTTTTTAAGTTTGGACGAAATCCCAAACTTAAATAAGCTTAGAAAACCCTAAAATCGAATTTTGGAAATTTTCCAGATCCCGGTCCGCTGGACCAGGAGCTTGGTCCGGCGGCCCAGGCTTACTCAACTGCCTTCGGTCCGTCTGACCTGGAGCCTTGGTCCGGCTGACCAAGATTTGGTCAGCTCCAGACCAAGTCTCCTGGTCTTCTTTCGGTCCGCCTGTTCGCTCCTTGGTCCGCCTGACCCAGCGTCTGGTCCGAGGCTGACCAACCATTGGTCAGCCGGACCAGACCTGGACAGATGACCTCGGACTGAGCTCTGATCTGACCAACTTGGTCCGGGGCTGACCAAACTTGGTCAGCTCCGGACCAACACACTGCGTAGTGCCAGAAGCCTCGAGAACCTTTCCCGATCTACAAGTCATGGTTAGCCTCTAGCAATACGCCATGACCACCCACTCATAATTGAGTTAGAGGTGATTTAACCAAGGCATTAACAGCTCGAATTCTGATCCTTTGTCTCACGATATCATATGTTGAACAAGGGCATGGTTTGAGCCACCCTTCAAGTTCAACCGCTTTCTCGTCTTGGCAAATCGACTAATAAAATAGATGCAACTTCATCTATAGCGTGGCCACGCATTTTCATAGTCCGACTTTCCACGAGAGAGCCCAGCGATATCTCTCCTGTTAAGGAGGTGACAAGTCCCATTTTGCATGTCTACTATCTCCATATGATTCGTGAACGTATCTGATCAACGTCGTTATAATCATCCGGTTAAAGACGACGTTTGACACAGTCATGACACGCCATTCCTCATATCAGATACTCTAGACATCTCAGGTATGAGGATCGAAGAACGAACCGCTGTATGAGATTCAAGTCATGACTCTGTCCATGTGACAATCTCATGCGGGTCATCCAGTCACTCATTCACAACGAGTACCATGATTGTGATATGTATCCAATGCATCGATCACACCTCATGCTAGTCTCAATTCATCATTGTTCCCACAATGATAACTGACCAGGGAGTTTAGAATCATTCT